GCCATGGCTACCAGTGCAGTACTTGAAGGGTTAGCTGAGGAGTGGGAAAGGGACCTCGCAATCCGAGATCGCTTGAGGTTTTCCAATTCTTTGTTTCCAGCTCAAAATGGGGGGAAGGCTTTGGAAGCCAACATCCGTGGTGCAGAACAGCATGTTGATGTGCTCATCCCCTTGCTCAAGAAGCTGGTGAACCCTGAAACCCTTGCAATCGGCATGTGTTCCATCCCATGCTTGGAAAAGGAGTGGCTTGCTAGTTAGCTGGGTCTATTTGAAATTTATTTCCCCAGTACTGGAATCTTTGGGGAAGTTTCCAAACAATTTCTGTTCTATCTGTTTCACTTTTCATTTTTCCAAGGAAACAAACCATTGGGGACCATTGGGGTATTTTTCCTTTATGTGGCTTACATACCTTCTATGGTACAGAGTTCATCACCCCCGTTTCAAAAATTACAATGGACAGATTCCATTTTAAATGTATGTAAATCAATCTGTATGGTGCTGGCATTCTGGTACCTAGTCTTCCCAAAGTTGAATTTGATTCCCCTTCTGGCTTCAGGATTGGAAAGCTGTTCGACACCTTGAACATTGGCTTCACCCGGGACCAGATCAAACTTGATGCATGGTGGTGCAAGAAGTTTTGTGTGCTGGTGAAGCGAAAGTGCTCTCGTGGCCAAGTGGCTAGGTCAAGAAACTTTCGCCGATTGATGGCGGTTTTCACTGGTGAGGATGGGTCCTGTTGCCAAACGAAAAGAAAATCAAACTTATTGGTTGTACTGTTGAGGGATTATATCTTATAAAAGAATAACCATGGAAAAAAGGTGAAATTAAAACCCAATTATATAGTTAGCTAATTATAGCTTTATTTCCTTTCCCATGCAGCCTGCACTCGCCGGGCCCAGCCCATTTGCCAGGAGCCCGACGATGATGACTCATCCGGTTCAGACGAGTCGCCATCACCTGCCGGAGAGCCAGCTGATCCAAGGGAGCCAGCTGATCCAAATCCCGAGGAGCCAGCTGCTCTGGAGAATGGGAATCCCGATGATGAAAGCGATGATGATGATGATGATGGCGATAAAGGCGATGGTGATGCTACTCCCTGTATGATGATTTCGGATGGTGAGGATGATCGATTCACTGACGATGAGGATGAGGATGAGGACACACATCCCGGCTCTACTGATGCTGTTACTGGATCCCCCCCACCAAGTTTGGGTAGCTCAGAAGCTTCTCAAGACTTGAACGATACTGACAATAGCATCAATGCTTTGAATGCCAAAAAAAATGCCAAACAAATCCGGGATCAAATGGAGAAACCCATTCTTTCAAGGCAAGCCACGTTGCCAGCTCTTACTGATACTGCAGATTCCCAAGACTTAGAAAATCTGAGTAACTTGGAAATTGCTGAACTCAAGAAGCAGCCGCTTCACCAGACCCTTGACCCTCGGGTGGATGGGAAATGTGGGAAGCATGCTGGGCGCCTCTCTTCCGCCAGTGCCAGTGTGGAAGCATCTTCAGAGCTTGCCTCAATGGATAAGGAGGAATCAGATGAGGACCCGGCAGCCAAATGCGCACGGCTGGAAGCGGAATTGCAGGAATTGCGCCGTCGCCAAACAGCCAAGATACTGGGGTTAAACTTAACTTGGATATATATATATTTTCTTATCTTTGATATCCATATCTTAATGAAATGAATCTCAAGAGCATAAGATGTGTTTGTTAACTGGAGCTCAAAGTTTGCAGCAAAATGTACTATCCTACTAGCCATGCAAGATGTCAATGTTTCAAACACGCACCCACGTACAAAATGGGTCCCAACATCAAATTTATCCCTTATCATGCATCCATAGGTATTAGACATGTAAATAAATTCCCTTTATGTCCTATTGAATTTGATGAACTTGAGGATTGCGCTCAAATCCCTGAAGATCACAGAGCCCATTGTGATCAACGACAGTCTCCCATTTGGATCCGATAACATGGATACTTTGAACATGCCTGAGGCTGACCTTCAGTCGATGGCTGACCGATTCAATGCAGAGATCCACGAAGAACCCAACATGGAAAGTGGAAGTACGGATGTAACTCCGATGTTTCAATTATTTGTCTATTGTTTTTGTGTTATAGTGTTCTATCACCCTGGAGATATTTTTGGCCGTTTTTTTAGATCCTGTAAAGGTTCTTTACAATCCTCAACTATATAGCCTATACACCCCAAAAGCACCATTTGATTTTTTCCCGAGGTTTTGCGTCGAATGCAGTTTGGGCTGAAGCAAGCTTCAGCTGATGGGGGAGAAACCGAAGATGGGCAGAAGCCAGCTCGGGTAGCCAGGGGCAAGGCGAAGGCAAAAGCCAAGGGTCGGCCGAAAGGGAAGGCTAAGGCAGCAGCCAAAAAAAAGCCTGAGCCCAAGCAGGAAGCCAGGGGTAGGGGCAAAAAGGCCAAAGCCGCCTTGGATGAAGCCGGTGATGGACCACATCAAGCCGCGCCTGCTCCAAAGCGCAAACGTGGCAAGGGCAAGGAGGAGAACAAGATACCAGAGGGCAATGCCGAGAAGGAGGATGGAGCGGGTGGGGCTGAGGTTGTCAAGGTGAAGTGCTTTGCAAAGCGTCGCAGGCCTGCTGCAGGATTTTCCAAATTGAGGTGGGAGGCCCTCCGCGAAGCTTTTGAGAAGGGTGTGAAGCCATTCCTTGAAATCTACAGTGCCCACGAGGACTGTTCCACATTCATGTTGCAGCTCAAGTTCTCGAGTTCTTGAACTCTTGCTATTGCAGTTTGAGTTCTCAAGTTCAAGAACGATAGATTTATCAGTGCTTCAAATTTTTGACAGGGGTAAGTAAGCTAGGACAAGCCCCTGCCCATACATCGCCCATGTACCAAAGCAAATGTTATCTGCCAATATCTGGCACATTTTTGAAACAAAGGAAACGTAAATAGTGTATTTTCGTCAAGTTCTGGTTTTGGCCTTGACTTAAGCAACCGGCTGTTGGCATGAGTTTTGAAAACCTGAGGCCTCCAGAACTTTCAAATATAGTTCAATCGGTCAAAGACCAAAAAATGGATTTGGGGTATTTAATGTGGTTGGGGTCCTATTGATTGAGGAATGTGGGGCAAACTTGAAAGGTGAAACCTGCGATTCGGAATTTAGAATCCTTGCAATTTATCCCATGCCTTACTTAATCAAATGAGCCTGTTTGGATTACTTATCCAATGCCTGCAGGACTACTTCTGGACTTTCTGCATGAAATCGTGGAAAACAAAGACCATCGATGAGAGCAATCTCGAAGCCGAGGCACACCTCGCCGCCAAAGAGTACCTCCAATCGATTCAGGAGAGCTTTGTTGTGACGCCTGAGCGCTCGTGAGTGCTGAAGATTCGATCGGGGTCAGCTAAGGGTATATACATTCACCCATGGATGCATGTGCCCACACATGCCAAAATGTTTGGTCTTGAAAATGTAAATTCTATTTCCTAAGTTCAGATACACACCCAAATCAAAAAACAATCATGGTGGTTTTCATTCCTTTTTCTCGCATGCATGTAAGTTTATGTTTACAGTATATCCCCATTAAATTTTGAAAGTGTGGCATCGCGGGCACAAAGTTCCATTCAAAGTGTGTGCATGGGGTGGAAGGATTGACCCTTTTAGCGAGACCATGTTTGCTTCACTGTTTGAAATTTGGCTGGCTTTACAAGATGGCCGGCCACTGCCTCTTAGAAGATTTGATTGGATGTGTGTGAAGGTTTCCGTTGGCCAGCATAATTCTTAAATTAAGGAACGGCTTAGGTTTGACTCGAAATGTTTTGTGCTGCAACTGCGTTGCTTAAGGGGGCCATCTCAGCCAATGCCCTATTCAAACTTTAGTGGCTGAAGAGTCCAAAACAATTTTTAAATTATTTCAGAGTAAACTTGTTGACAAGTTTGGGCATTGGGATGGTGGGGCATGCAATGCAATGTTGGCACACTAAGAACATTAGATGTCACAGTGCCATCTCACATGCAGCGGCGTGAAACGGTTGCCTCAAAAATGTCCAGTGGTTTCTTGGTGGTGTGGATTGGAATACATGGTTGATTCTGGTCACCTCATATCACAAATCTTCAGGGGTAGACCTGGCAGAGATGGTTTTTACACCCCCCAAACTAGTTGAATTCTTGAACCCTTAATGACTGACCACCTTTCTCCCTGGCCCAATCACAACTTCGGACTCCATGGGGCTCCAAACAGTCCTTCCACCAACGCAATGCTGAGGCCACACGCCTTGTGGCATCAAAGGCATGGTTCGTGGATCGGGCTGGAAACGGAGGCTGCTGCCCAATGAATACGCAGAACAAGCTTCAAAACGTACCCCATCCATGTTTGACGGGTTCATTTTTTCAAGGGCAGTTGGAGACTGAGTGCAGAAATATGTTTTTTTCATTCTGAAAAAACTGGTGTTGGCTTTGCCATTTCAATTCTTGTCTCGGTGTCCATGGTCATTGGTGGGTTAAATACCCTACTCCTGGGCTCTCTTTGGATCAAGTGGCTAAGTTTCGAACCTGGGAAAGCCTTGTGGTGCGCCCCTGCCAACCATGGCCGACAAGTCCTGCAGACTGGGAACAGTTCTAAAGAGGATGCATCTACTTGGGGCACCCAAGGTGCATGAGGGTCAGTTCTTGTCTCTGAGTTGATCTTTAAAAAGTGCTAGCTGCATGGTTTGGTTCATTGTATGTGCATGGCATTATGTTTTTATAGGATTATATATGATCTTGAAGGGGTGGATTGGTCAATACCAGTTGTGTAGGCTTGTGGGTATTGATGGATGAACCAACAAAATAGGAGAGAGAGGCCCATGGAAAACAAATTAGGTTTCATTATATATCAACAATTATGAAATGATTAATTACTATATTTCGTGATATTTGTAATCATAGAGCATATGCAACCACCTTGGATTTGTCAAAACTACCCTTTCAATATTCCAAGTGAACTACTGGCTCCCACCGGGTCTAATCCATCAAAGCCTGCAGGTGCTACTCGCATCTGTGGTCTTGCTAAGCCTCTCCGGCAATGTGGAGATTTTCACTGAGGCTTGATTGGGGTAGCGGGAGATTTGAAAAAACAATATAGTAATTATAATTATACATGTAAATATTTGACATATACTTTGAATGGTTGGGGTAGGCAGTTAGTATCCCTTTCTGATTGTTCTTTCATGAAGTATCCATGTCGGAATGTCTTATCGTATGAGCATATTGGGGGAATGCTATAAAACAAGCAAATGTCCACTGTTGGATGGGTAGCTTTTGGAGCAACAAAATAGTTCCCAACAATTGGTCAAACCCCTTCAGTGATTTTTAGCAAGTCGCACCGTTATTCAGGTACAGTTCATTTTTGCATGTCACATATCATGTCATGCCACATATCATTATTGTGAAAAAGTGTTCAATCAAGTCCATGACGCTCATGAGCTTTCTGTTGCGTGAAAAAATTACCTATCCAAGCTTCTACGATCCAAGCGACACCACGAGATTGGCTACAATCCCACAACAAAAAACAGTTGGGAATCCTTTGGTATATTCTTCATTCCTGTTGTTATAAGCTTACAAGCCACTTCTTACACCTTTGGGGTGTGCCCTGATCTTCAAAATGCATAGCGCAAAGCTGTCACCAACCTGTGTGAAATATGCTCTGCTGCGTCGCAGTCCTTCGACTATGTGGAGCTTTTTGCAGGCCGAGGATGGGTTGCAGATGCTATGTCGGCATCAGGTCGTGCTGTTGCTAAACTGGACATACTGTATGGCCAGCCAGAGCCCAACAAGGAAAACAACATGGATCTGACAAGTTCCAGTGGGTTTCTGTAGCCTGGCTTTAAATAATCATCGTTCTTTTGTTCGATCAAATGCCAAAATCAAAACATTATAAACTTAGTAGCTAGATGGGGTGGTGCCTAAATTTATGTTAGTTTTTGGGCGTGGTTTGGGGTGTTGAGACCACTTTTTTTCGCTCGCACCTTCTCACCCTATCGCTCTTGGTTCCCTGGTTACCCCCCATGGTGGTTGTGTGCAGTTTTGAAGAATTAATGTTGATCAACCTGGATATGCATCAAGTAGCTGGTATTTTGGGGGATGCCATGCTATCCCTTATTTTTCCAATACAATAGGGTCTATCTATATATACCACACCAGAGCTGGCAATAGTCATTCCATGTTTGGTTGATTACATGCAAACTGAGTCTTGCACTATGTGCAGTTCTGAACATGAAGTTCGACCAGTGCCTATGCGTTATCGGACTGCTATGCTCTTCTTTTGTGGCCATTAATGCCGCAACCCATGGTCGCACCTTGCTCACTCCTCTAGGACGAGAAGACATGCCCCATGTTCAGTTGGGAAATTTACTTGCAGCTCGGAACCTTATCTAAAATTACAGCGGGATTGTTCTACCCACCCCTGAACTATGATGTGTTTGGGATGAGGATAAACCCAAGTACCAAATCAAACTTATACATTCCACATGGAAGAGAGATCCGAAAATAGGAAGGTGGCCCTGTTTGTGGTGAGTGGTAGGCACATCGAAAATTAGGATTGCATGGATGATCCGAAATATTCCAAATATTGTTTGGGATTATATATGGGGTAGTTTCCCAAAAATGCTTCAATGAATATTGAAGCTAAAAGGTTCTTTTCATCCCCTTCTCCAAGCTACCATTGCCCCAGCACTGTCCTGCTCCTCAGGGTAACGCTCCTGCTGGTCGCCTTGGAAGCAATTGGTGCGGCGTGGATGGTGGAACAGCCAATCTCTAGCTTGGCTTGGTATCATCCTAGGCTACGAGAAATCTTGAGGAATTTCCCCAAGGCCAGGTTGACATTTCCCAGGCAAGATGAATCGAATGCTTAATGTAATGTATTTCAAATTTGGTTTTACAAGAAACAACGAATATAGAAGTCATTGCCATTCCCTTCTGTGTGTTGGGTAGGGTTGGAACTGGCATGAGCTGAACACTTCGTTGATTTCATATTTCCATGAGGCTAGCCCAAATCATTCTTGATGCTTTCAAGGGTTATAGAAAGTCAAAGATATAGCCCCCATCAGAGCTTTTTTGGTATGTATACAAATTGAAAAATATAACTTATATATCTTATATAGGTCGATTTATATCAAAATCTGCAGTAGCTCTAGGGAGCCCCATGGAGTATGCAATACTCACCGCTCTTGGTTTCCTGTTGGGGGTTCAAACTTTCAAGAACAATTTTATATAACCTTCTGCTGTGCCAGGTCTTTGTATGCCGGTGGTGGATGGGCCACTACATGTCATGCACCCCGAAGAGGCACATTTGCTGGGCCAATTGCCGGAAAATTGGAGGTCTGGACAAGGGGCCCATGACAGCTGAACAACGAAAGGAGATCCGCAAAACCGGGGTAAAGAGTGCCAAGGTCAAGGTGAATAGGTCTGGAAAAAAGTCCTACACCGGGACTTCCAAGCTTCGTGGCACAGGGTGAGGGACCAAGTTGATCAAACACAGTTGGGAAATATTTTGGAGTTGCAAGAAAGGGACTTAAACATGCCCACATATGTTTCTGTTCGTTTTTATTTGACATGAGTTCTCTTCCGGAATCCTGAGAAATCGCTGCCCCTTTACTAAAGATATAATATATAGGAAATTGTTATATAAAGCATCAGGCCGATCTTTACAGATACCAGGAATTTATGGGCCAAATCCTAATTGGTTCAATCACCCGGGTTTGCTGCCCAGGACATACCCTCCACACTTTGGCCTACGTATGGTGAAATTGTTCCCGCACCTTTTGCGGAGCCGTTCCATGCCACCGCAAATCCCTGGGGAGATGGCTGCATTGAGTGCCCAGGAGTTCTTCGACAATTTGACCTGGGACGACAAGTGGGAGGACGCCCTGATGTTTGACGTGCTGGCCTACATCCGTGGCAACACTGCCCTAGAGCTTGGGGAGTGGCGTTCATCTTTCCCTGACCATTTGTGATCTATATCATGCTCGCGAAGTGAGCCATGTTGTCCTAATAACATGAGAGAACCTAATTCGAAATTCAAAGGACTTCTCTAGATGTAAATCCTGGATAGGGATAACCTCTCACAGCCACTCCAGGCCAAAAAAGGATCTGATGGCAACCTTTCCCTGGAGAGTGTGGGGCCCACATGTAATAAGGTTGTGAGACCATTTCCCCAAGAGATGTGAAAAGGAAATTTGTACTCCCAAACTTTAGAACTATCTAATTTAAGAAAATATGTTAACAATAATGATTTTTTATGATGATTTTGAAAGTACGTATGGAGTACGTATCTAGTACGTATGAAACCGTACACCCGTATAAGGGGCGTACTTTTGCGTAAAAGGCCGTATTTTTCCGTATGAAAACCCGCTTTTTTTACGTACTTTTCCCGTACATTGACATTTCCAAAAAATCAACATTTCATTGAGCCAAATGACCATTCATATCCAATACAGATGAATTCATCCAAACATATCCAAACTTTGTTTCAAGTTGGGTTCTGATGGGATGTCGCTTCTAACTTGAAATGCTTCTTGGGGGAAATAACCTAGATTTCCACCACAGCCCTTTCAGATCAGGGTGCTGGCAGTAGGTGTGTCACTTGGCATTGGCCTGCAATGGCGAGGACGAAGGTGGATAGCTTGCGTAGTCTTCCATCTAGGAAGCATAGCTGCTCAGAGCTTCAGAACGGTAACAAGACTTTGTTGAAGGTCAAGGCTGAACATCAGGATCCTGATGAGTTTGCAGCCAAAATCAAGGATCGACAAGGGTTTTTCTTGGTGGGACTAACGGTTCTACTTCATGTTTGAATTATTGGGGTTTAGATATATTTCTAGTAGTGTAGGTGATGTGTTGATTGTGTTGCGGTCATGGGTCCATTGATTAGCCCCTTTAGGAGTATGAAGAACAGATCGCAGAGCTGAAGAAACAGAAGGATGCCCAGGCGGCCTCTTAAATACAAAGGGTTTATTGCAGTGCCTCCATGTCTCAACATGATTGCTTTGGCACCCCTTGTTATTCCTGTTCAGGCCGCTCCTACTGAGGATACCTTACCAGCACCTTAGATTCATTTGATTTGAAATAGTTTGGATGGTGATGTCAAGACTACATCCATCAAAATCAAGCTGAAATTCTATGAAACTTTTGAAACTTTTCGATATGTGAACGCTGGAATGTCATCAAGTTCGGAATACTATGAATGTTCATGTTTGAAAATGTGAAGTAAAATGGAATGTCATTGGGTGCTTGCAGCATGTAAGGCAACTGAAGAAGAGCTAGCAGTTGCGAAGGCAAATGTGCCTCGCCCCTCGGCCAAATCGAAGGCTAAGGCAAAAACTGCCCCCAAGTCTTCTTCTGGGGGTTCTGGTGGTGAAAAAACATCTGAAAAGTCTCAGTCTTCAGGGAATATGCCTAAGAGATCCCCTCGTGCTCCAGCAGAGCCGCCTGCCCCTACCCAGCCACAGAAGCGCCTCCGTGGCAAGAATGCGGATGCCCCGTCAACGTCCACGTCACCTTCAGAGGTGGCACGTATTAAGAAGTTGATGGAGGCTGGATGGTGTTGTTGCTGGGGTACTGCATATAAAACCAATTAATCTGAATATTTGATATTTCTCTTGAATCACATTTTGGATGTGTGATTGGACATTATTATAAATGAGTTCGCTCATATATGGTCCATGTCGCCAGTAAACTCTATAAAATTTGGGATGTTGGTTGCTTGATATGGATCACAAGGTGTGCCGAAAGCCCAAGACTATAGATCTTATGTTTGTCAATGCATCTCCATGTCAGCATGTTCCATTGAACCAATAACTCCAAGGGGTACCCCAAGAATGTCGGTTTTTGTTGAACACAATCTTCCAAGTTTTCAATTGTGGGGAAAGCTTCCCTTCATGTTTTGTAGGTTTTCCAAAGCACTGTCAAGGAATTCTTCACAAAATGACATGGGTCAAATCCCAACAAATATTTGAATTGAATTCTTCAAGAAACCTTGGCATTGACAAAAGGTTGTTCTTCAATTCCCCTACATTGCAAATTATATATTTTATCTGTTGTATCGCTATGGATCAACATTATTTTGGGTGGATGTTCTGGGCTTCCATTTGATCAGCCCACTGCTTTTCCATATTTTTACCAACCCCTCAAGTGAAATATAGATCAAACAAATCTATCCCTAATTTGCACAGGAGAATGTCCGCTTGGAAGCGCTGTTGAAGGAGATCCAGGGGCAGAAGGACAACACTTCTCTTGCCACCCCGCCGACCCGCAGGGTCCCAGCTCCATCCCCGGCATCGACTGTCAAGCAGCCTCCTCGCCAAGCTGGTGTTGCCCAAAGCGATGAGGAGGACGATGATGAGGAACCTCAGGCAGCAGAGGCTTCTGAAGATGTCTCGGAAGGGGATGGGGAACCAAGTGAAGCCGCAAAGAACAATAGGTTAAGACGTTTGTGTGAGAAGAAACCTAGTGGCCGTTGCCATGTGCCGGATGACATTCATGAGCAGTGGGTGAAGGGGGGTGTGGAACGTCAAAGACTTCGTGACCAGTTGGAAGCGTGCAACTGGGAGAAGGAGTGGGTTGAGATGAATTAACAACATTACATGGGGCTGCACCATGAATTCCTGTTGAAACTGCCAATCTGTGTTTGCATGTGCATGTACTGCAACTATTTAGATACAATAGAAACAAAGTAACATAGACATATCATTTTTTTATACACACATGCCGGAATAGTCCATACAAAAACCCTGGTTGTGGTATTATCGGTATTATCTTTTGCCTTTGGGCCAGGAGACTTTTGTGAGCCATGTCATCCGGCAAAAGGAGAAGGTCACCAGGACCACCAAGCACAAGAGGAGAGGATGGTATAGCAAGGATAAGATGAAGAACAAACTGGGTTGGTCGAAGCCCTGTGGCTTCAACATGCATGTTGTGTGTGAAATCTAGTCGCATGCGCTTTCCACAATCAACCTTTGTTGCAATCATGCAAGTGCCTGTTATGTACTCATGCATGCGTGCATTGGTCTTTCTTCGCCTATACTTTTATTGATCTATATAAGTCTCTATCAAAAAACGGTTCATACAGGTACAGGTGTGTGTGTGTGTGTGTGCTGGCGCGGTGTCGGTTTGAAAAGTCCCAAGTACCAAGCCTTTCAACCAAGGTCTTACATCAATGATGTGGTCAAATTCTGCGAGAAGAAGGGCAACGAGAGCTTGATCAAGAAACTTGAAAAAAGTTGCATGCTGTGTTCCTGAAAACCCACCATAAGAAAGGAGTGGAGGATTAGAAACATTTTTTTCCAGATCAAAAAAAAATAAACCACTAGGATCTTAAAAAAAAAATATTGTCTATTTCATCTAAATTTAGTGGTAGGTTAGGTTTATTTTTTTTTGATCTGACTGCGATGCCAACTTCTTTTACTTAGGAAGGACAAATACAACCGCAACATCATGAAGTACCACGTTGAAGTTGACACAGACGACTCCGACGCGGATGAGGACCTGGAGCGGGAAGTCAAGACTTCTTCTAAGGCAGGAAAAAATACAAATTATTTTGTTGAACTCTTCCTATAAAACATGGCACATGGATCATATGTGCCATGGATGCATGTGCATGCATGTGGTTGTCAGCCACACTTTTTGCAATCAAACTGAATGAATTCTATGAATGTCTATGAGTGTTTGCTACCATTCAAATCCTCAGCACTTTTCTCCAAACAATCGTCAACCCCATCAGCTGCCTGGGTTCTGGGGATCCTCGCGCAGGCTACCAATGGAAAGGTGAAGTTCAGCAAGCTCGACACCAAGAGAGGGCCCTTGGTTCCGGCGGCTGGTGCAGCGGAGTCTGACTCAGATTCCCCGAGGAATGCAGAGAAAGCAACGGGCGCTCAGGAGCGAGCTTTCAAACATATAGTCACATAAAATCCAGTATTGTTTCAACAAGAGTATATAAAACATGCGCACGCATGCATCTTTAATATATCTAATATAAAAAAAATATGGATGCCAAAACATAATCATACAATGGTCCAATATGTCTTCTAGTCAGTCGTCAACTGTATGGGTTCGATTATAAGGAACTTAAATTTATGTCAGCCCTTCTCTCCAGGAGTTCCAGATGTTGAAGAAGTTTGGGGATTCGTTGCTGACCCGGGCCAATAAGTTGAATGACATCTCGGGCCAGTTGGATGAAGCCATGAAGAATGATGAAGCTAGCCCCCATCGCGATCGGGTGTCAAAGTCTTTAACTTAGCCTTGGCAAGCTCAAAGATTCGCAAATTGTTTTAAATGATATCTAGCTTGTGGATTAAAAATATGTTGTTATCCCAATTTGCCTTCCCACCCGCTGCTTAGGTTGCAGGGAACCATCGATGCTGCTGTCCAGATACTGCAGGACCAGTTTGAGCTTGTCACAGAAACCTTGGCGGAGGTAGAAGGTCTCAAGAATGGCAAGCTGGATGAATCTACTGCCAAGCCGTTGCCAGTCTACAATGTTTCTGTTGGGATCATCCCCTGTTTTACCATGTGTCAGAAACCTTTACCAATGAATCTTACAATTTACTACTGGGGAGGCCCTCAGGATATGAAATGTTCGTGTGACATGCCCCCATATAAATACGATGTGGTTGTATAACTTCAAATCGTTACCCTTGAAAATTATCCTTTTGGTATATAATTAGATTGTTTGGTCTGATTTGAGGTTGGTTGCCAAAGTGGAGTCGCAGCTGAAGTCCACCCAGAAGGCTTGCGCAAAGGTCACCGCTACTGAGACCAATGCAAAGATCCTCTGCATCAATTTCCTCATTAAATTCATGAAACCAAATTCAAGGTTCTTGCATTCCCAACATGTTATTTATGAAAAAAACAACATGAATTTGCAAGCAATGCTTGTTATTTCCCTCCTGCAAGCCAGTACCAGATCCCAGCCCCTAAGACCTTCTAATTCCATCATCCGAGGAACCTTCTGAAAATGGTGAACAAATGACCGGTCCTGAAAGGGCTTGGAAACAAGATGGGTTGCCTTTCAGCGTGGGGTACCGTTGGTGTGCAATCCAATCAATGTGGTGGGTCAGTCATGACTCCAAATCTTAGGTGTATCTAGAAGTTTTGGTGGCTTGATTTTTTTCGGGCCATGCCCTTTGACTGAGCTTGGGGAGTTTGCAATCATGTGCTTTGCACGTGCCGCTACCTTTGGTAGGTCCAACATGGATCGATACCAGCACATGTCAAATAAGCAGCGAGAATCGGAAAAATGCAGGCCTATTCAGCCTTGTTTTGGTGTGTATACCAGAATTTGTTTGGACCACCAAAAGTATATGTGTTTCCCAGGTGTTTTCATTGTTCTTGCATTAAAACCATGAAACATTTACAATTTAGAAATACATCTTAGATTTCTTAACCCAAACCTCAGGGGTGAAGGTTCCAAGTGGGACCCCAAATTGCTCAACATGCCAGGTGTTCGCCAAAATGCGCCGCCCGGGCGTCTCCTTGAACATCTGGCTGGCTTTGCAGCGCGTGGTGTCCGGCTCCCAGCCAACTTCCTGTCCAGCTTGGGTGAAGTGCTGTGGAATGATCACAGGGGTTGCGGCCGTTCCACAGCTGTGGGTTCAAAAAACATGTAACTCAACAACATGGGGTGTATGCAAAAAAATATTGGAAAAAACCACCAACTATAATGGGAAACAAATCCCAAGATTCATCACCATGTTCAATGGAAAAAAAGGTGCATGCATGGAGGCGCCGTTAAGGGTTCCATTCCGGCATGGGCAACATGAAAGAAATAGAATCAAAATGTCTCCTCAAATTTCTACAATTTACTCGGTAGCTGGTCTTTGCCATGGATGACTGGCTGGATGAATTACTTCATTTCAGTGGCAAGCGTGCAGCTGGTGTAGTTTTTGCGGTGCCATGTTCCAAATTTTCAAAGCTACTTGGCAGCAACTAAAGTGCCAAGTGCAAAAATGCATTTCGGGATGGGTGATGAGTTATGAGAAATCATTTTGACTTAGGAAGACAGAACCTGATGAACAAAATGTTGCTGATGATTGGCATGACCCAGACATGGACTACTTCACCAGGGACAGTTCCTCTGTAGTGCCCACACCTTCCCATCATCTTCAAGCCAGCCATGGTGAATGCCATGCAGCGCCATGGCATCATCGATGCGAATCAGCGTTCACAAGTGTGTATGGTAGTTGCATGCATGCATGTATTAGAAATATCATTTGTATAATATATACCTGCGTGCATGCAGTTTGTATCAATATGTGCATGCATGTGCATCCAACCCATACGATATATATAGTGGTGAATATTTATTGACCACTGCATGGACTAAGGATCTGGGTCCTTCCGTGGCTTCTGCCCTGACTACACTGGCAGAAGGGTTCGATGGTGAGAAGTTTGATTGGCAGTGCGTTAGGAAATACAATCTTGTCAATCACTGTGTTCTTCCCCGTGCGGGACCGTTGCCAACTTGTGGAAAAAAATTAGAGCATGCTGTGTCCAAAATCACGGCATTTAGAGAAAGCGTTGGAGTGAAACTGTGTGTCTTTAAGGTGGGTGTAACTTCGAACCCGCTGACGCGCTATGTGATGTACCGAAAGCAGGGGTTTACAATGATGTGGGTCATCACAAAGTCTTCCAGTGTAGATCTCATCCACATGTTGGAGGCAGCTTGTGTTTCACACTTTAACATGCATGTTGGTTGCAGGAACCAGCGTGGCAGTGGCGGTGAGGGTGCTCTCAACAGGGCAAACCCAACACCACCATTTTTTTTGTATGTAACGGGGGGCAGGGCTGATCAACCAAGAAGTGTTGGTTGATGTGTCAGCCAGCCAGACATGCCGGGTTGCAAAGCTTGAGAAAAGTGTTTTTGAACTGGCAGTTGTGCGTTCATCATTCTTTGGCATGTTGAATCCCAAAGTTTGGAGCTTCATTTTCCCAAACCCCTGGGATGTCCCATCATCCCATCATGAACTCTATCAGATTTCCCGACCGCGGCTGAGGAACCGATGTCCTGTGTGGTTGCTGCAGCAGCTGCGGATGTAGCTGAGAACCCCAGAGCCTCTGAGGCTTCGAAAGAGTTTGGTGCCATTAGACCTCGAGATGCTGAAGTAAGAGCCCACCAAGTATTGGAGAAGCATGGCCTCACTTGTCCCATTCAAATTGATAGGGTCGACTTGGGTGAAGCCAAAAGGTACAAACGCTTTCCATACATGAAATTCTCGACATGGGTGAAATACCTTTTGGACACAGACCGTTTACCTCGACAACTGTGTGCCTGTGACAGCTTACAGAGTATGGAGGTAAAGCTAGAGGAGTTCTGGAAACGCTATGAAGCAATTCAGCCTACCCACAAGATTTTTCAGATGAAGGAGTCTGGGGAAGTGGACCTACGATATGTCATTCCTGTTTACAGCCATACTGACGAAGGCAGGTCATACAAAAAGGCCGCACTTTGGCTGCTGAGCACTCATGGAGCTTTGGGGAGGGGAACGAGAGGTTTCCTCAAGAGGGGAAAAGACAAGTTGCCTCTGAAAAGAAATGGCTTTGGTCTGAACTTCTGTGGCCACACATGGTCAACTAATTTTATGTTTTCCTGCATGCTGCGCAAGTTCTTCAAGAAGAAGCCCCAAGTATTGGATGACCTCATTTCAGTTTATGCACGAGACATGGAAGACCTTTTGATCAATGGTGTGTGGAATGCTGCTGGAACAGTTCACGTTCGTTGCTGCCACATCGGTACTAAAGGTGACCTTCCAGCATTGGCCAAAATGGGTAACATGCTGCACACTTTTGGGAATGTCCCAAAAGCTGCCCATTCCAGGAAACCCTGTGAAGGTGTCTGTTGGATGTGCTGTGCAGGGCAGGAGCAGAATGCTGCCAGAGGCCTGAACCCAGTCCCTTACGAAGACACAAGTGGGAAGCCGATTTGGGAGGGTACCCTTGGACAACAACAGTCTTGGGAAGAAACGCCACCGCTTTTGCAGGGGGTACCTCTTGATGAATGTGACCACTACACATTCTTCAAAACAGATGTGTGGCACAATTTTCATTTGGGTTTGGCGAAACATTGGGTTGCAAGCTCCCTAGTATCTTTGCTGGAACATTTACCTCTACCATATGGTTCAATGGATGAGAAAGTGGAGTGGCTGGGACAGGAATACCGAAATTTTTATAAATCGAAACGGATCAGTCCACATTGTGAGGAACTTGGTCGGGAGACTTTGGGCTGGTATCAATCTAGCACATGCCCAGTTGGTACATGGAACAAAGGGAGTGCCAGTACTCATTACATGCTATTCCTGGAATATCTCTGCAAGACTTGGTCCAATGAGATCCGGGGGGAGCCTTTGCTTGAGGCAATTGATACTCGAATGATTTTGTATGGCTTTGGCATTGGTTTCCCTATTTCTTTTCCTGGTACCCCAATGGTTTTTGATGTTCTGATGTGTGCAATCAATCCATTTTGGGAACCAGCAAAATGTGTATATAAGTTTTTTGGGGTATGAGGTTCTGATCATCCATAGGCCACTGGAACTTCAGCGATGAACACTGCCATTTCTGCCATGTTCTATGAAGGCTTTTTTATTCGCTGGCCCAGGGCCCAGAAGATTGCGAAGCTTTGGCTGCTGTTTTTGCAAAAATATTCCCTTGCAACAGCGTTGGTCTACAGGAGGGGATTGAATAGGTTTGCACTGGTTCCGAAAATTCACATGCTACACCATGGGGCCATCAGACTACTACGAGAAGCTGAAAGAGCGGAAGAGGATTCAACTACTTGGGCTGTTAATCCCCTTGGAGAAAGTGTTCAGATGCAAGAAGATTGGATTGGTCGGCCGTCAAGGTTGAGCCGGAGGGTGTGTCCCAAACAGATCCATCTTCGCGTTTGCCAAAGGTCATTGATATCGACCATGGCTTGTTTGAAACGAGCTGACATAGATCAGCGAGGTTTGTTTTCACTTGGGGGCGGTTGAGTTCTTAAATTCACATTCCCAAAAGCTGCACAGACAGCCCTGGCCTCAAGGTGACTGACTAGGAGTGATCCCCACATTTTACCCCTGCTTCCAGTCTTGATATCTAAAGTTTTAAGGTATGTTAACTCGACTTATACTCTAGGCTTAAGGGTTGCTGTGCAGTGCTGTTGCCAGAGCCTGGAGGGGTGGAGCAGGCAAGGCCAAAACCGGATCTGCAGCTGGTCGGTTGGTTGGTGGATGTTGGTGGGTAACCCAAGAATCCTCAATACATATTTGGTTTTTAATTGGTCAAGCTATTATTCATTCAAAAAGACGGAATATGTGGGATACTTGGCAAAACTCGCATTGGCCAATGTGAAATTGATCAATATCATGTTGAGATTATCCTTTATCCATTGATATCCAAGAATCATCAAAAATTGTAAAATTCAAAGGGTAGCTGTTTTTACGGAAGACCCGTACTTTTTTTCAAACTCGGGTCTGACCTATTTTGGTAGACCAAACCGGTTCTAGGTACATATAATATGTCATAATAAGTATACTTTATGATCCTTATCCTTGCTGTTGTTATTGCGCATGATACCGCAATGCCGTAATGTGGTCTAAAACAAAAAATCTGTTCTTGAGGCGTATCAAACTCGCGAATGGTTTTCCATCAGGGCTCCCCCTGTAGCTCCAAATGCGAGAGCCCGTACACTGCAAGGGTGGCAGCACATTTAGATACATTTAGTATCATGTATCGTCTGTCTACTCCTCCATAATGGGTTCTTCAATGGGGACACCAACTTCGGCCCAACATCAGTGGGTGTTCCTCTTCTAATCACCACATTGGGGTCCCATTTTTGGAAGCCACCAATGGATACCGTACGGAGACTACATTTAAATATACGAATGGAACTGGTGTTTCATACTACCTCCAGGGCGTCGCGGTCTCGCATGTCTCGCCTGAAAGTTTCAACGTGACCGTGCCAGTCGTCTCACCTGCGAAGATGGAATCGGCGCGACACAAAGAGAGCTACATCTTGAAGCAATGATCATTGTTAAAAATGGGTAACCCCAAAAGCGGCTATTTGAGAGAAATGGTAACCCCAAAATGGCTATTTTGGGGTTACCATTTTGGGGTTCCCATTTTGAGAGCTACATTCATCAACATAGGGGTGTGTCTAAAAATGGTAACCCCAAAATGATAAAATGGCTATTTGAATGGGAACGAGTATGAAACGTCACAGGGGACATCTATGAACATCTGTCAGCATACAATCGAGGTCAAGGAACATCAACATCTATCCAAATCCAGTCTCAACAGCATCACACGTTCCCATCATTTTCACCGATTTTTCAAGCTCAGCCACTGAGACATCATGACATCATGGCCATCTCGCCTTGTCCCAGCCTTTGGCTGTGAAGCTGAGACACTCCTTTCCTGGGTTTCTCCGGAAATGGTTTCTTCAGCAACGGGGATCTAGCCATCTTAGCATAAACAGAAAATGACAAGTGGACTGCAGCGACTTTTGGACAATCTCGCTCTAGCATGGTATAGTTGGTTTTGATATGACAAATTACCCTCTGGTAATGACTAACATAGCGAACTGGAAAATCACCATTTTTCATGGGAAAATCCACTATAAATCACCATTTTCAATAGCTATGTTAAATTTCAAACAAACAAATCTCCCTAAAATGAAGAGCATTGGTACAGAGTCCGTCAATATCTGGCGTTTCCGCGACTTCCGCAAATTTGGGAGTGAACCAAGCAGCTCTTTTCCGAAATGGTAAACAATCTCTATTATTTCGTGGCCACATCTACTCTCGGGTGAAACCTCCAGTGGATTGAAATTGGGATTGCCAAGTGCTCTTTTTTCCTGTGCAGCCCTGTCAACCGATTTGTTGGAACGACATGAAATTGAGAACAGGCTTCACCAATGAGTGTTGCTGCACACATTGCCCATGACGGATCCATTCACGGTGCTGCGAAAAAAATGCTGTGCCATGGATCCCATCAACAAAAACCCCATAAAAATGTTAGCATTACCCTCTGGTGAACTAACATAGCAATGGAAAATCACCATTTTTTATGGGAAAATCCACTATAAATGGCCATTTTCAATTGCTATGTTAGTTTCTACCAGCACCATGGGTATATTTCCCTGCCCTACATTATCGTCATAAAAATGGGGCGAATCTTGGGATTTCTGCATGGGCCAAGTTTCTGCCTCCAATCAGCCGGAAACAATCGGCCATTCCTCGGGACAAAAGAAGCAGGGTGAAAAAAAAAACAATTGGGGGTGGCAAGACATGATGACAAGTGTTTTACACCCCGAAATTTGACAAATATATGGAAATATGCAGCACCAGCCGTTCTTGTAAAGTGCCAGTGTTCCAATTCCAAGTCTAAAGTGTGGACAGTTGCAACAAATGCACAGAAACATGGGACGTTGAACATTTCAAGGACAAACAAACAAGCAAGCGAGCGAGCAAGCAAACAAACACACACACACACACGTTTAGAGGAGTTGATTGGTAGTGTGGTAATCTCAAAGATAACCCTCCAGTTGAACATGGTTTATACCCACCATTTGTGGTAAGTCACTGGGCCTACAACATTATCATTGTTTACTTAGGGAAAAAGAACACATATCCCACAATATCCCTCGTGTATCCTCACAAAATTGTTGAACACATGTACTGGTATAACCCCTTAAAAGGAATCAAAATGAATGTTCCAACGTGGATAATGCATGGATGATCATCTAAGCATAGTCACATAATCAGTAACCATTGGCATTGAAGGTAGTCCGTCAGAGAAAACCCAACGGTTGATTCCCAGCAACCTTTGGATCTCACAATCACTGGCTGTAGATTCACCTTAGGCTGAGCCATGCCGGGTCAAAGAGCATTGGACACAAGGTGTTGGGGATACGGAGCATGTTTACCATCTATTTAATCTACTGTAATGTATCTATATGATCAATCTCGCACAAGCTTCAAAAACGTATACTCTGCTCTCTATGTATCTATGTATCTATGTATCTATGTATCTATGTAATGTATGGTATGGTATGGTATGTATGTATGTATGTAAGTACCTACCTACCTACCTACCTACCTATCTATCGATCTATCGACCTATCGATCTATCGATCTATCTATCTACAGTATCCATGCATCTATGCGTCCATCCATCCATCCATCTATCCATCCATCTATCTACCTGGCTGCCTGTGTGTCTGTCTGTCTGTCTGTCTGTCTACCTGGCTGCCTGTCTGTCTGTCTGCCTGCTATGTACATATTGATCAGTATTTCTTTTTATCTATGCATCCGTCCATGAAGGCATCTATCTATACTATAATTACGCATGGGTATAATCTATAGTGGAACATGTGCATATATCGCAAATAAGCTGAGCTGGCACAATGCTAATCATCTAGTCATAACAACCATCACTTAAATACATCTGTAACATTCAATCCACCCACCGCTATTCACTCAAATCAATGGCTGGAACCAGTAAAAACCTTAATCGCAATGTTGGAATTGGATATTCCGTGTCATGTGTCATGTGTCTGTTCATTTCCCATGTATATATATATATGTGTATATATATATATATAATATCATATGTTATCCTAAAAACATTTCATATATCATATCATATCATATCATATCATAAGTATATATCATATTTATACTGATGGTTCTTGCCTCAAATTGTTAACCTGAAGCGGTTGAATCCCAATCTTTTGGCAGAATATCAATTCACCGACCCGAAAGAACCCTATTTTAAGATAGTCACCCTTATTAACCTCTGGTAAACTAACATAGCTATTGAAAATGGCTATTTATAGTGAGTTTTCCCCTTAAAAATGGTGATGTTCAATTGCTATGCGACTTTGCAGTGAGCTACTTATGATTCACCACACAATGTGTGATGCTAATGGCGTCATGTGATGTGCTTCGTTGATGTTTCAAAGAAACACATTGGAATAAAACGGTCTACCCTCTGGTAAACATACGAAAAACTATGGAAAATCACCATTTTTCATGGGTAAATCAACTATTTCTATGGCCATTTTCAATAGCAAACTGTTTGTCTACCAGAGGGTAACTGCCTATAACCATCCAGAGTCAAATGGACCAGTTTGTAAGGCTCACCACTAATGTGGACATGCGTGGCCTTTTGCACTGAAACTTGGCGACGGAATATGACATCTTAAATCCTCATGATGGTCGGTATAAGCAGTAATTCACCATGGAATCTGCAGGGAGTACGGTGAGTACGGTACGTGTTTGCAGTGTCTCTGCACCGTTTCAATATTGTCTAGACACTGTGTCGTAGGTCCATCGTTTTGCCCCCCTGACAAGCTGGGGGTGGCTTCGCAACCATGGACGCGCTGGTTTTTGGAATTTTGAGCCACGCCCAATCCCATGAAAGATGCATTTATACAAATCAAAATCAACACAATCAGCAAAAAACAATGTGTCTATGGCGCACCCTAGCACTACTCGCTTCAATCATCCAGCATTTTTCCACCTTTTGGCAGCACCAAACCCTGCAACCCCTGCCGAAGTGTGCAAGACATCGGATACCCAGGAACCCACTGGTGAATCATCACGACTATTAAATATAGCAACATTTTGGGTATACTATAAAAATCCAATGGATATAAGAACAGTATATGGATATATGTGTATATATATATGTATGTATATATATATATATGTATGTATATATATATGTATGTATATATATATATATATAAGAAACTACTAGTACATAGAATATAGAATTGAAAAAACATTACGTTTTAGGGCATCTTCAGGAATTGAAAAAAAACGTGTACATAGAATATCCCAGAGGTTGACATAGAATATTTTTTCAATTCTGGAAGATGGTTTTTTTTGATTTGTTTGAACTATAAAAAAAATCACCCATACTGCAGCATAAATGGACATAAATGGAGATTTTTCAAATTTTCATCCCACTAAAATCTTTTGAATTATCAAAATATCACCCATACTGCAGCATAAATGGACATAAATGGACATTTGTCAAAATTTCATCCCACTAAAATCTTTTGAATTATCAAAATATCACCCATACTGCAGCATAAATGGACATAAAGGGACATGTTTCAAACTTTCAGCCCACTAAAATATTTTGAATCATAAAAATATTATCCGTACTGGAAGGAATTGGGTCTCTTTCATGTATAAGGGTATATATTTTATATACATAATTCCCTTTGGGGAGCAGCAACCCTGGATGTCTGAAATTCCTCAACTAGAACGTTTCAACAAAAAACAGGTCCCCCGAAATGACCAATTTCTTTTTATAATGTATAAAAACAATGAGTTTCTGAGGCTCACCGAAGGGGGCCCCCCACGACCGGTGTCGTAGAACTATGAAAAAATAATATGTTGCAATGAACACCAACGGAATTGGGTGGTGTTCCTGGAAAAATGGATGAATATGTTCACTGGGGACCTATATTCTATGTATGTAATTCTGCAAGGATTTGGGTCCCATTCATGTATAAGGGTATATATTATATACGTAATTACCTTTGGGGAGCAGCAACCCTGGATGTCTGAAGTTCCTAAAACGTTTCAACAAAAAAAACAGGTCTCCCGAAATGATCAATTTCTTTTTATATTGTATTAGAAAAATAAGTTTCTGAGGCTCACCGAAGGGGGCCCCCCACGACCGGTGTCGTAGAACTATGAAAAAATATTGTTTTGCAATGAACACCAATGGAAACAGGTAGTGTTCCTGAAAAAATGGATGAATGTTTTCACTGGGGACCTATATTATATGTATGCAATTCTGCAAGGAATTGGGTCCTTGTCATGTATAAGGGTAATTATATATTATATACATAGTTCCCTTTGGGGAGCAGCAACCCTGGATGTCTGAAGTTCCTTAAAACGTTTCAACAAAAAAAACAGGTCCCCCGAAATGATCAATTTCTTTTTATATTGTATTTAAAAAGAAAGTTTCTGAGGCTCACCGAAGGGGGCCCCCCACAACCGGTGTCGTAGAACTATGAAAAAAAAAATGTTGCAATGAACACCAACGGAATTGGGTGGTGTTCCTGGAAAAATGGATGAATATATTCACTGGGGACCTATATTCTATGTATGTAATTCTGCAAGGAACTGGGTCCCTTTCATGTATAAGGGTATATATTATATACGTAATTACCTTTGGGGAGCAGCAACCCTGGATGTCTGAAGTTCCTAAAACGTTTCAACAAAAAAAACAGGTCCCCCGAAATGATCAATTTCTTTTTATATTGTATTAAAAACATGAGTTTCTGAGGCTCACCGAAGGGGGCCCCCCACGACCGGTGTCGTAGAACAATGAAAAAAACATACTTTGCAATGAAAACCAATGGAATTAGGTGGTGTTCCTATTTTAAAAAAAAAGTGAATCTTCCCCTTGAGACTTATATTCTATGTATGTAGTTCTGCAAGGAATTGGGTCTCTTCCATGTATAAGGATATAGATCAATTCCCTTTGGGGAGTAGCGACCCTGGATGTCTGAAGTTCCTAAACTGGAGAACATTTCAGGAAAAAAAGGTCCCCTGAAATGATCAATTTCTTTTTATATTGTATTTAAAAAATGAGTTTTTCAAGCTCACCTAAGGTTACCCCCACGACTGGTGTCGTAGAACTATGATAAAAAAAAAATATTTTGCAATGAAAACCAATGGAATTAGGTTGTATTCCAAAAAATAATGGATGAACCTGCCCTTGGTTTTCATGGTCTTTCACGGTTGGTGTCAAAAAATATAGTTTCTGATGTCCCCTGAAATGATCAATTTCTTTTCATATTGTATTAAAAAAATGATTTTTTTAAGCTCACCGAAGGGTACCCCCACGACCGGTGCCGTAGAACAATGAGAAAAACCTACTTTGCAATAAAAACCAATGGAATTAGGTGGTGTTCCTCAAAAAAAGGATGAATTGTATTCAATAGAATGAGTTTTTCAAGCTCACCTAAGGTTACCCCCACGACCGGTGTCGCAGAACAATGAAAAAAAATTGCTTTGCAATGAAAACCAATGGAATTAGGTGGCGTTCCTCAAAAATGGATGAACCTTCCCCTGGTTTTCATGGCTTTTCACGGTCAATGTCAAAAAATCTAAATTTTGATTGAAAAACATAGGAATTTGGCAGATTTAATGACACATTCCCTGCCACCTGCATTTCTTTCGAGATTGTCGCGGCAAAACGGCGGGAACCGACATGAATGCCTACGAAATATGTTTAGATTGTAAAAAGAAACTGAAGAAATTGAACTAAGTTCGCGATTGCAGTGGAAAAAACCATGGTGATCCATGGTGGGAGCCCAGGGTTTTTGGTGGAGCTGAACTTTCCGGGATTGGATCTTCTAAAATGGATCTTCTAAAATCTTCTAAAAATAAAACATATTCTATGTACTTTTTTTTCCTATGAGGGGGCAGGATTGAATTCCGGCATATTCTAAGTACGAGTAGTTCCTTATATATATATATATATATGTATGTATGTATATAATACCCCATATATCATATATCCATATACTGCTGTTTCTGTTGGGATCCAGACCCATCTCTAGTGAAAAACCAACGAGCCAAGTCGACCACTTTGCGCCGCACACTGTTTATCTAATTATTCTCCAGTCAGGTAATGAAATTGACATAGACACGGAAAGCCCATGGTTTCCCTATAGGAAGTGATTAATGGTGGATTTACGTTATTGCTTCAGTATATTCAAATGTATTGTGCTTTATGTGCAGTAGGGTACTTACCAAAGGTTTGAAGCGACCTGAAACATATCCTAAAGGGCCCTGCAACATCCTCCAACTTCGCACCCTGCGCAAGCCAGGCCTCACTCTCATGAAGGTAAAACGGGATCTGGAATCTTGCGTGAACCAGGGACTGTACTCTGGACTTCGGAAGAAATCATCCTTCCTGGGCGGACCCAATGGCGGATGTAGTTGCGGTTGAATCCTCTGATTTGTGAAAGGAAAATCTACAATAAACACAGAAATTCTCCTTTCAACCTCTACTGGGATCCAAGATTTGGCAAATGGAGAGGGGTTAAACATGTTTAAAACCAGAGCTTCCACCATGTTCCACGGATCCCCAAAGCACAGCAAAGCCCTGTTATTGCCTTGTCTGTGCTTCAAGGATCCCGAAGCACCAACACAGCACACTCAGTTTGCAGATCGTAGCACCAACCGAGGGTTTTTCCTGAAAGAGGATCCCTTTCAGTTATGGAAACACTCTGACCATCTCAGGTTTTTTTTATCTTTTATCCATCCCCAAAAAAAACTCACCAATCTGCCAGACTCTTGAACAAGGTTCCGCTGGATTTTGGGATTTCATAAAATAAAACATCAAACAACAGGTACAATGTGAGGCCCCCGGCCACGATAGCGTTCAGTTGGTGCCAATAACTCCAATTTCACTATGGTTTATAGTACGCAAAAAACAAATTACTTTACTTCGTGTGATCCCCACCATGACATTTATACATTTTGTTACTGGCAAATCTTCTGGCATTCTATCTGACATATTTTCTGGCATTCGATCTGGCATTCTATCTGGCATATCTTCTGGCATTCTACCTGGCATATCTTCTGGCAGATGTTCTGGCATATCTTCTGGCAGATGTTCTGGCATATCTTCTGGCATATCTTCTGGCATATGTTCTGGCATATCTTCTGGCATTCCATCTGGCATTCTATCTGGCATATCTTCTGGCATATTATCTTGCAAATCTTCTGGCATTCCATCTGGCATTCTATCTAGCATATCTTCTGGCATATTATCTGGCAAATCTGCTGGCATTCTATCTGGCAAACATTCTGGCCTTTATCTGGCATATCTTCTGGCATTCTAGCTGACATTCTATCTGGCATTCTATCTGGCATACCTTCTGGCATTCTATCTGGCATATCTTCTAACATTCTATCTGGCATATCTTCTGGCACTCTATGTGGAATATCTTTTGGCGTGGATACTCGCGGTTGAGGTCCGGCAGGGAACACTGGGCGTGGATGGTCGTGGTTGAGGTCCGGCAGGGAACACTGGGCGGGGATGGTCGTGGTTGAGGTCCGGCAGGGAACACTGGGCGTGGATACCCGCGGTTGAGGTCCGGCAGGGAACACTGGCGGTGATGGTCGTGGTTGAGGTCCGGCAGGGAACACTGGGCGTGGATGGTCGTGGTTGAGGTCCGACAGAGACCACTGTGCGTCGAGGGTCGCGGTTGAGCAGGAGGAGGAGGAGAGGAGAGGAGGAGAGGAGGAGACGAGGAGAGGAGAGGAGATGAGAGGAGAGGAGGAGAAGGCAACTGACATAAAATCTAACAACCCTCACCTGGCAGGTGGGGAACTAGTTACTGGGGCGAATCTAAACCAACAAACATCACTGGGGGGCCTCAAATTGTAGGTACCCCCATGACTTAGGAAAAAACCATTTATTTTTGTGGATGATCAGCCCAAGTTGCTCCAAGCATTTTCCACCCTCACCGTCCTTGCGACAGCTGTGCTTCACATTGCCTCGATCATTGAAGTCGATTACGGGCGCTGGCGGCCAAGCAATCTGAGCCAAATCAAAATTCTTGCCAATTAAATGACCCAGCTTTTAATGCTACCCTCTGGCGATCAAACTGTAGCAACGGAAAGTCATCCATTTAGTTCGATGATTTTCCCAGCTATAAACTATAAACCTCCATTGATCGGAGATTTCCCGGCCATGTTTGATGACACCAAGGGTTTACTTCTTCCCAGAAATGTCGATTGCGCCAGGGTGCAATGGTCCTGGACATCTGCCATGGCATCCAAAAACCAATCCAGTGAGCGACGTGCGACGATGAAAATCCAGTCTGCTGGCTGATTCCTGCGGATGAGAGAGAACACCCCCCAAACACCTATATATGGTCCCAGCGTTCCAACCCCCCGGCCATTATCGTGGGTCAGCCATAGTACTGTCGTGCTCCCGGGTGTGGTACTGTCCCTTCCCCCTTCTGTGGTGTGGTGGGGGTGTGCGGTGTGGTACCTGTCCCCCTCCCCCTGTTGCTTATTTTGTTTTACGTGTCTACACAATGCTTTCATGCATGTTGACATGTACACATAATTCATTATGTCTCATGCGCCACTCCGCATGGCTCAATACTGCAAGCCCGCATGTAAAAAGATTGCAGCTGCCACTTACGTGACCACAGGTGTCTAACTGTTTCCAGGGCTCCCTCAATACGGGGAAAGCTACCTCAAAGTGGTAGCGGAGCCTGTGCCTTCGCCAAGTCTAGATCCGTGTGCCGAACTGTTGTTCTCTGCATACGCTGCGTATATCGGACTTGCGGAGGCAACCTGTAGGTCAAGTTAGAGTAGCTGCCATGGTCTTAATCCATAACATGGATTCAGATGAAGAACAACTCCAGATTGTTTCTTATGAAGAGCCTGAAGCATATGCTGCCACCAGTCATTCCGAAAACCGGATGGGCATCAAGATGACACCAAAAGTTCCACCCCAATTTGATGGCCAATCAAGCTGGTTTGAATATGAAGACTTAATTGATGACTGGTTAGGGATCACAACATTGGATGCAGATAAGCACGGACCATCATTGAAGAATGCCCTCATTGGTTCCGCTTCTTTTTATAAGTCGATGCTCGACAATGCCCTACTCCGAGATCCGGATCGTGGCATCGCCCATTTCAAGGACACATTGAGACCATACTTCGTGAAGGGAGTAAATCATGTGTTTCTTTGGCGATTCCTCCAGATGTTTCGCACATACCGAGGCCAGAGTGAATTCGTGCACTGGATAGGGCGCTTCGAAATCGCGCAGAAGCGTTTGTTGGCTTCTTGGTCCGATCTGCTAGACATATCCGATCTTCCCGAGGCAGGCACTCAGGCATTTACGGCAGCACTCACTGATGAGCAAAGACTGCAATATAATGCAATAATAACAGATGAAGATAAGCTAGCTTATCAACAAGAGCTTCGTGAACAGACCATTGCAAATAGACGGACCAGACATGCCGGACAGTTTCCATTGTCAGACAATTTGATGTCACTGATTTTTCCCTAGAGCGCCTGCGAAGGGTTCTTCGTAAAATAGCAGCCGTTATAATACATCTTCACACCCTCACATCTGCAGATCTACATCTTCACATCCTCACACCTGCTGATCTACATCTTCACATCCTCACACCTGCAGATCTACATCTTCACATCCTCACACCTGCAGATCTACATCTTCACATCCTCACATCTGCTGATCTACATCTTCAAACCCTCACATCTGCAGATCTACATCTTCACATCCTCACATCTGCAGATCTACATCTTCATACCCTCACACCTGCAGATATACATCTTCACATCCTCACACCTGCTGATCTACATCTTCACATCCTCACACCTGCAGATCTACATCTTCACATCCTCACACCTGCAGATCTACATCTTCACATCCTCACATCTGCTGATCTACATCTTCAAACCCTCACATCTGCAGATCTACATCTTCACATCCTCACATCTGCAGATCTACATCTTCACACCCTCACACCTGCAGATATACATCTTCACATCCTCACATCTGCTGATCTACATCTTCACATCCTCACATCTGCAGATCTACATCTTCACACCCTCACACCTGCTGATCTACATCTTCACACCCTCACACCTGCAGATCGACATCTTCACACCCTCACACCTGCAGATCTACATCTTCAAACCCTCACATCTGCAGATCTACATCTTCACACCCTCACATCTGCAGGTCTACATCTTCACACCCTCACATCTGCAGATCTCCTCTCGCTCTTCTTTCTATTCTCTCTTAAGGCGGGGGCGGTGCCGCCGGAGCGCCACGAAACGCAACCCTTTCGCACGAAATGGACGTTGGACGTCAAAAACTGAGGAAAAATTGCGATTTAACTTTGTCCAACGCAACCCTTTCACACGAAATGGACGTTGGACGTCAAAAACTGAGGAAAAATTGCGAGTTTACTTTGTCCATCGCAACCCTTTCGCACGAAATGGCCGTTGAACGTTAAAAACTGAGGAAAAATTGCGATTTAAGGTGTCCATCGCGACCCTTTCGCACGAAATGGACGTTGGACGTCAAAAACTGAAGAAAATTGGAATTTAAGGTGTCCCCGCGCAACCCTTTCGCACGAAATGGACGTTGAACGGCAAAAAATACAGAAAAATTGCGAGTTTACTTTGTCCATCGCGACCCTTTCGCACGAAATTGACGTTGGACGTCAAAAACTGAGGAAAAATTGCGATTTAAGGTGTCCCCGCGCAACCCTTTCGCACGAAATGGACGTTGGACGTCAAAAACTGAGGAAAAATTGCGAAAAAAGGTGTCACTTTGCAACCCTTTCGCACGACATGGACGTTGAATGTCAAAAACTGCGGAAAATTGCGATTTTGAAGTATCCATCGCAAGCCTTTTGCACAAAATGGACGTTGGACGTTGTGTGAAAAGCTCTTGTGTGTAAAAGCTTTTGTGTGTAAAAGGGTCTGTGCGTAAAAGCGTCTGTGTGTGAAAGCGTCTGTGTGTAAAAGCGTCTTTGTGTAAAAGCTCTTGTGTGTAAAAGCTTCTGTGTGTAAAAGGGTCTGTGCGAAAAAGCTCTTGTGTGTAAAAGCTTTTGTGTGTAAAAGGGTCTGTGCGTAAAAGCGTCTGTGTGCGAAAGCGTCTGTGTGTAAAAGGGTCTGTGCGTAAAAGCTCTTGTGTGTAAAAGCTTTTGTGTGTAAAAGGATCTGTGCGTAAAAGCGTCTGTGTGTGAAAGCGTCTGTGTGCAAAAGCGTTTTTGTGTAAAAGCTCTTGTGTGTAAAAGCTTCTGTGTGTAAAAGGGTCTGTGCGTAAAAGCGTCTGTGTGTGAAAGCGTCTGCGTGAAAAAGCGTCTGTGTGAAAAAGTGTCTGTGTAAAAGCATCTGTATGTACAGGAGTTTCTGTGTGTAAAAGCATGTGTGTGTGAAGCGTCTGTAAAGATTGTTCGATCCTGTAGGGACATCGGAGAAATGCAGTGAAACAGGTGTTATCCATGCCATCATGACATCGAACTTGTTATTGTGGAATCATTCAAAGCGTTCTTGCACGGAGTTTTAGATTCTTTTGGATACCATGGTACCGAGCCTTTGTTTGTGCACTTTTGCATTTTTTTAGCGTTTCCATTGCAACTATGTTTGCGCACCTTTGTTTGCAACTGAGGTCATCCACGGCATCATGGTACCGAGCATATTTTGTATCTCAAAGAGCAGATGCTTTGCATTGGATTGTGCGTTGAACATGAACGGCCCTCCGGAAATGGGCCGCCATTTCTGGGGCCATTTGCACTATGGTACTGAGCCTGGTCTTGTGCACCTTTTGCAAAATTTGAGCATTTCCATTGCAACTATGTTTGCGCACCTTTGTTTGCAACTGAGGTCATCCAGTGGTGCTGTGCTTTGTGAGCGTCTGTGTGTAAAAGTCTCTGTGGAAGCGTCTGTGTGTAAAAGCGTTTGTGTGTGAAAGTGTCTGCGTGTAAAAGTCCCTGTGTGTAAAAGCGTCAGTGTGTAAAAGCGCCTGTGTGTAAAAGCGTCTGTGTGTAAAAGCGTCTGTGTGTAAAAGTGTTTGCGTGTAAAAGCGTCCGTGTGTAAAAGCGTCTGTGTGTAAAAGTGCTTGTGTGTAAAAGCGCCTGTGTGTAAAAGGGTCTGTGTGTAAAAGCGTCTGTGTAAAAGCTTCTGTGTGTAAAAGCTTCTGTGTGGAAAAGCCTCTGTGTGCAAAAGCGTCTGTGTGTAAAAGCGTTTGTGTGTGAAAGTGTGTGTGTGCGTGTGTAAAAAGCATCTGCGTGAAAAAGCGTCTCTGTGTGGTTGCATTTCACGTGTCATACGATGCCCTTTACCAAGCAGCACAGTGCATGTGCATAGGTTGTCACATGTATCCTCTTCTTAATCAATCTTACTTTTCACAACTTATCCCTCCATAGCTCATATACAATTCACCAACCATTCATCGACTATTTTTTACGACTACCATACTCAGAGCAGCTTGAAAAACGTCTTTTTCGCTCTCGGGCCAACCGTCGTCTAGTTCTAGTTCAAGCAGACCTCAACGAGCAACAACGTGAGCGTTTTGTCTCGTCCATGAACATCCGTCAGATTGCAATGCCTCAGTATACTTATCTCCAAGTGAAACAACTGTTCTTAGAACTTTTTGCCGTTTCTCGCACAGGTGTTGCCGACCCAAACATCACGCACCGCAAGCGGTCCACTTTCTATGTCATCGAGGAAGGAGAGACCGAAGAGGGTGAATACGGATTTTGGGTCTTGGATGAAGAGACGGGTGAAGAAGGTTTTACAGGTCTGTATACCGAGAACAAGTTCTGGGTTCTCAGCGCCAAGGGTTCATACTCCAAGCGCTGTATCTACGGCAGGTCCTTCAGGAAAGGTCGACCAAAAGGTTATGGCAAGAAAGGAGGAAAAAGGTCAAGACCCGGCTTCCGTCCGAGGTCAAAAGGAAAAGGTTTTGCAGCATGGGAAGATGACCAGCAAGACACAGCTTTCTGGGGAAAAGGAGAAAGTAAAGGAAAGGGCAAAAAGGGCAAGAAAGGAATTTATGAAAGGAAAGGATTCTTTCAAAGGAATGCCTTCATGGAAAGGAAAGGGCAAAAGTGATGCCAAGAACAAAGGAGGAAACAATCCATTTTTATCACAACCTCCACAAGCAAATGTAGCACAGCCTGCATCATCTAGTGCGTCACAAGCCCCTGAAAAACAAGAAACAGCCCATGCTGAAGAAAGCTGGAGTTATGACTATGACGCATATTGGACAGATGACTGGTCAGGTTATGAATCCTATTATTGATATGATGGAGATTACTCCCAAGGTGATTGGTACAATTGGTCTTACTTTGCTTCCGCTGAGGAACTGACCGAATCCGAGGACAAGCAGTCAGAAAGTGTAGACGTCAATTCTGAGGACGGACAGACCGACCAGATCAACCGGTTCTGTTTTTCGGCCATTTGCTTGTTCCGATTTTTCGGACACGAACTTGTAGAAGCCCTCGCATTCATGCTTCTGTTCGTGTCTCTGATGTACCAGTGCTTTTCAGATTTGAACAGGTTCCTATCTAAGAGCATCCGCCAAGTTGAGAACAGTGCTTCTACCGGAATC